ATATTTGATTAATTTTAAAACTCAAAATTTTCTTTAAATCTGAGTAATCTGCTCAAGAATATAACAATGACCCTTCCTATGGGTTCAGTTAATCCATGATATGGGTAGTAGACTAAGTCTGCCTCCCCCATTGATCTGAATACTTACTGTCTTACTTCCCAGATTTATACGCTTGCTTTCTGAGATTAATTTGGCACATTTCAGTCTTGTAAGCAGTAACTTTTATGGGACTTTCTGTATATATCATGCTGGCATGTTTTCCTTCTATGCCCAGGAAATCTAATTCCAGTTAGCAATCAAAGATGTAATTTCTCATGTGAGTTTTAAAAATATGATTGTTTGTAATAAGAAAAAAGTGAGACCTTGCCACGTTTTCATTTAAAAATGTGACACAAAGCTTGAATTGACTTTACCCTTGTTTTGATACATAGGTCTTCCTACTCCCATCAACACTACCAACAGATGAAGTCTGTGTTTGGCTTGTCAAATTAAACTTGGCCGTACAGTAGCAAGGATCAGCACAAAATCTGATCTACTTTTGGGCAGTAGCTCCATTTCAGAGACTCAGGACTCAACTTCATTCACTGTCTGACTTTCCTTGATGCTGACATGACTTTGTTCACAAAATATCTGAAAATGCTTGATTATATAATAGCTTACTACTTTATTCAACTTTTTGGGTAAGGTGAATTAAAGATTAACTGACAAATTATATTTAGTAGGACTTAATTCTGGCACGAAGCAGCAGCTAAATGGGACTGTAATTAAACTAAGGTCTTTGTAGTTCTCCTTTTTTGCCTTATTCTGAGGAAAAGCAATATTTTATCTCAGTAAGAAATGGCATATTGTAAAGGTTTTCTGATGTATTTAATGTAGAAGCTAGGCCAAATACAAAAGTCTTATGACGTGGTAACTGAAAAGAAATCACCTCATAGCAATAAATTGCTAATCAATTGTAATTATAGGAAATGGTTAATGAGTACATAATTAAAATGGTACCATATATCTTCTGATAATAGTTATTCAGGTACATGAATAAATAGTATTTCCCAGATCTGTTCTGTCTCCTATGTGATTTTAGACAATATATTCAATACATCTGGTCATTTAATTCCTTCACATTTGTATTACAGAAGACATTCTGGTCCTAATTTGTATGTCAAATGGGCCATTTAATACTATCATATACTAGACAAGTGGTTCATTTATTCTTTCTTGCAATCGTTCAATGATATTTTGCTACTTGTTAAATTCAATATTGACAGCCTTTTTCTTTTATTGAGTTATACTTTATTTAATATTTTCATTTGTTAGATTTTCAGTCTAGCTCTTTTACCAGGTCTTAACAGAAGATGTAAAACTAGAAAAATTACAATCAGTGCCTACTGTTTAGCAAACAAAAAAACTCCCAACTCTAAATATGAGTTCGACATAAAAATCATAAACCTTTGCCAAGAAAATCTGTAACTGTGCTGACTAGAACTGGCACCTCTCCTTTCTTTCACAATGTCCAACTGTGGCTTTCTCAGTCTTTTCAAAATAAGACCACCAGCTGCCACCTGCCAGCTGCAGTGCACTGATTTAACTTAGAAAAAAAAAAAAACTGCTACTTGTTTGGAAATCACTTCTTCTTCTTCCTCTTCTTTTTCTTTTTAATATCCAACTGGGAAAAAGATGAGATCTGATCAGAACAGCTCTTAATGAAAGATTTTCCACTGGTGTCTGACCAAAAATTGTAGGGCTCAGATGAACCAGGGACAGTGGAGTAATCTACATACATCAAACCTTAGAACTTTTTAAAAATTGAGGTAAAGTATATGTGACATAAAACCTGCAATTTTAACAATTTTTAGGTATACAATTCAGTGGCATTAAGTATTTTTACAATGTTGTACAACCATCGCCACTGGTTATTTCCTAAATTTATCATCCCAAACAGAAACTGCGCCTATTAAACAAAAACTCCTGTTCCACATTCTCCAGGACCCTAGTAGCACTAATCTGTTTTCGGTCCACATGAATTTGCCTACTCTAGATATTTTATATAAGTGAATTCATAGAATATCTGTCCTTTGTGTTTGGCTTATTTCAAGGTTTATCTATATTGAAGCATATATCAAAACTTCATTCCTTTTTATGACTGAATAATATTATATTGTATATACCACATTTTGCTTATTCATTCATCTGTTGATAGACACAGGTTGTTTCCACCTTCTGACTACTGTAAATAATGCTGCTATGAATATTGGCATACGAATATACATTTGAGTCTTTGTTTTCAATTCTCTTGGATATTTACCTAGAAGTAAAATTGCTGGCCATAATTCTATCTGCACTTGAAAGAAATGCCAAACTGTAAAACTATTTTCTACAGAAGTTGCATCTTTTACATCTCTCCCAGCCAGGCACCTGGGGGTCCTAATTTCTCCACACCCTTGCCGACATTTGGGTGTGAAGTGGTATCTCATTGTGGTTTTGATTTGCATTGCCCTAATGACTTATGATGTCCAATAGCTTTCAATGTAAATTTTGGCCATTTGTATATCTTCAAGAAATGTCTAAAATGTCTAAAAAGCTGTGTATTTTAAAATTTGTTGTCCTTCTGTTGTTGAGTTGCAGGAGTTGTTAGTGAATATATACATAACTGATCTTTGTGTATTGATTTTGTATTCTGATATTAAATTCTTATCAGATATGTAATTTACAAATATTTTCTCCCACTTTGTGGGCCACAAGGATTGCTGGCCACCACCAGAAGCTGGGAAAAGACTAGGAAAGATTCCGCCAGAGCTGCAGGGGGACATGGCCCTGCTGGCACCTCGATTTCAGACTGAGAACCTCCAGAATGATGAGAGAATAAATTTCTGTTTTAAGTCACCCAGTTTGTGTTATCTTTTACTCCAGCTCTGGGAAATTAATGCATATTCCAATTTTGATGTCTCTTCTTCTTTTTCTTGCCTAATTGCTCTGGCTAGAATTAACAAATTAAAAAGGAGAGAATACTTCCTAACTCATGCTATGAGACCAGCATTATTCTTATACCAAAGCCGGAAACAGATACAAGAAAATAAAACTACAGAAAAATACACCTGATAAATATTAATCCAAAAATCCTCTTCGAACTACTAGCAAACTGAATTTAGGAACATATTAAAAGGATTATACACCATGACTAAGTGGAATTTATGCTAGGAATGCAAGAGTAATCAAATGGATGACAAACAATCAATATAATATGCCACACTCTTAGAAAGAAGGGGAAAAAATCACATTATCATCTAAATTGATTCAGAAAAGGCATTTGACAAAATTCAGCACCACCCCATGATAAAAACATTCAATAAACTAAGAGGAGAAAAAGGATTTCCTCAACATGACAAAAGATATATATGAAAAATTCCAACTAACAATACTCAATAGTGAAAGACTGAAAGCTTTCCTCTAAGGTCAGGAAGAGGACGAGGATGCCTGCTTTTGAAACTTTTATTCAACACAGTAAAGTTTATACTTGTTTTCGATGTTTCTGTGGATGAACCGGATAGTCCAGCTGCCTATTCTGCCATTCTGCTGATGTTACTCCCAAATTCCGACCTTTTATACTATCATCATATATAAAACAGTACTTAAAATTCATATGTACACAAATAATATACTAGAAAATTATTTAACAAAGTACATCAAAATAATTTATATATCATGGCTTTAGTTCTAAAATGTTCTCATTTACTTAAAATTGTGCATTTACTATATTTACTATATTCACTTTCCCTGAAATAGGTGTATTTAGATTGTTTCCTGTCAGACACTAGATATAGTCATAAAAAGAGGGATGAGAGATTTATGAATAATGATATCCAATCAGATATTTAATTAATATGGTCAACTAAACTTCATCTTCCAGGATGACCTTTATTTAGAGTCAAAAGCCAATGTTACCACTAGCCCCGTACTTCTGAGACAAGGATTACTGGATGCTTAAAATGGCCTTTGACTAAAAGTATTAAAGTCTTCATTTGACTTTGTTTCCAGTGATCATATTTCTGGATTATTTTGTTTATGCAGACATACAGGAATGTACATATTAGTGGGGAATATTTTATCTCCACTGCTGATTTCTTTGAGGAGAAAATTTTTCTAAGTATGTTACTGACATTTCTTTTTGTCCCTCTATTTACTTTACCCTGAGACATGAAGTGATTTATTTGACTGATAAATTTGAGAAGGCTCAGTGCTGCCCTTCTTGGGAATAAGCTGCCTGAAGGGAGAAAGCTACCTCTGCTGCATTTCTAGGAGCAGATTCTTTCTTCCCTTTAGAAAAAAAGCTGTCCTACTTGCATATTGCCTAAATCTAGACATGTTCTCTAATTCTGGGGGATTTGTGAGCAAGCCCAGTTGGCTCCCAAACTAAACTATATTCTCCAATTTGTCTCTTAAAAAAAAAATGATTTTTTGATGTCCATATGCTACTGTTTTATTTATCAAATTTTCTTAGACTATAGCCAGGGAGAGGGAAGCCAATTTATTGTTTCATATACTCCTCGTATCTATACATTGATGTCTTTCCCGAATTGTCTATCATCAAAAAGCTTTGAGCCTATAGTAAACAAAACTCCCAAATCCAACAAATTCCATCATGACCAGCTTTCAGAGCCTCTAATCAAGCCCCGATGTTTTTCTCAGATAGGAGGAATTGAAGTTACTTCTTTGCAATTTCAGAAAGCAGTTTTAAAAATAAAAAGAACACCTGAGGCTATTAAGCTATCATTTGGGTTTTTCTAAGCCTACTAATGATCCTAATGCAGTACACAGGAAGAAAGCTTGAATCCTTTTACTGGGAAAAGTTGGACAAACTCTTCGATGTAAGAACATAGACAGATCTGCAAGGTTCATTTGATCTGTGACCAACTCCCGAAGGAATAAACTTTTAGAAAATCTGTTATAATAGGCAAGTAAATAACTCATTATTATGTGCATATGACATTTCTGAATGTACTTACCTCTGCTGTGTGCTTTGCCACATGCCCCACGACAACAATGACCTTCCCTTTGAAGCTCTGGAGCATAGCAGTGTAAGGGCTCTGAGTGAGCTCCCCTTCTGCAGTGAATGCAGTGCTGAATGGAATGTTGATGCTGCCTGAAATGTGACCCCGAATAAAACTGAGAAGGAAAGTTAAGGAAAACATTTGTGTGTAGACTTGAGTGTGAGAGAAATTCACAGAGCTAACTGGTTCGCAGAAGACAGTACCATTAAAATCAAACACAAATGAAGACCAGACTTGAAAATTCTCCGAACAGAAAAAACCAGTTTAGTCATACGAGTAAAGCTTAATTTAGCCTATCTTCCAAGACAAGCAAGGCTAACTTGTCCTGGATCGCTTCTTGCTTATGCCTTTGAAAATCATATGCAGAACTTAAATTGTTCCCCAAAATTTATATGAGGTAACCACTAACTAATTCCCTTTCATTTAAGAAAATTGTAATACTGTGACCAATCAATGAAAACTAGTCACTGCTTCCACACTATATAAGCTGCTTTATAACAATATCCCTCTGAGCCTCAGCCCAGGTTTTGGTTTGAGTGCTCGTGCCTTGCAAATGTCTTTTTGGTACGTGCACAATAAACTTTTACTAATTACTGCATCAGTGATTCATTGGTTTTATTTGTTTTGTTTTGTTTCTTTTTCCCTAAACTTTTGACTTCTAAACATCTTCCATGCTCGCATGAGTATTTTATCTAAATAAAATAAGGCACCTCTAAGGAAAAAATAGTTAAACTTTAAAATGTAATGAAAAAGAGAAAGAAAGCAGACTGGCCAGAGATGTAATGAAGGCTTTCCTGATTAAAGGGAGCACTGTGAAAGTGGTCAGCATGCAGCAAACCATGACAATCGCATGGGTTGCACAATATTCACGCTTTTCAGTTCATTACTACTATGATTATTTTAAAACTTTAAAAGTAATATAGCCAAGCAGGTAGTCTCAGATATAATTTGATACTACAAAAGCCTATCTACTTTGGGCAAACAATTGCTAAATGGGACTCTACTTAGAATCATTAGAGGTCATCAGCACTGGTCGGAAACACTGGTTGTCGCTTTATTTCTCAAGTAAACTTAGCTGACACTTCCATTCTTTTCAATGTTATGGTCTCTAAAAGGAATTTTTTTTTAAAAATAAATTTGCACTTTAATAGGGTTCTGACAGTTTCATTGACTAATTTTGGAATGAAAAGCATATATTAGCTTAAATATTCAGAAATATTTTAAGATCTTAAAGAAAAAAATATACCTCCCCCCCCCAAGTAATTAAAAAGTACAATTAAAAAGATGATAGCACTTTGATACATGCTAGTAAACATGGTTTTTCTCTGGTAACAGGAGACCTTACCTTTTCTTGCAGCAAGTTGTTCCCCTCCCCTAAAACATACTCGGCCCAACATTCCATTTGGCAGATATTACCAACAGCATTCAAGTATGTGCTTATAACAAAAATAAAAACAAAAATTTGTTACCTCAATGTAAAAATAGATCAGAAAAAGTACATTAAAATTTTTTTGTGTGACAAGTTGTATTATTAGAACAGTATTAACAGGTAAGAATAAGGTGCATTATCTTCTAGGTTTCTAAAATATGAAGACTTTCTTGTATTCGTAAGTCAGTCACCATAATGATATTTCCAGTACATGCACCGTACTTTAATCAAGCAGATAAAAGAAATATCAGTTCTAAGAATAATATAGGTACATTGTATAGGTAAATTACATAGGTAAATGTTCATATTCCAGAAAGTTCTTTACAAAAAGATTTTAAAATTCCTTTAAAATATCTGACGGCTCAAAATTGAACACAGAAGTACTCTCATGTTTTTCTAAATCCTAAAAGAACACAGTATTTTTGTTGAGTACCACACTCAGTGACATCATACCTCAATATACAAAGTACACCAGCATTTCACCAGACCACTATGAAGTTGTCACACCTTTTACACTGGCTTGTTTGCTATGTTAACTAATTATAATTAGTGAAATAGAGCCAGCACAAAGAAAAGGCTGTGTCTTTAGAATGTCAATAGCCACAAGGGAATATAGAATTAAAACCACGGTTTCCTGATATAAATGTAATAAATAGCATTAACTGCTAAATAGTGCTGCTTTCTTTGAATGGCATCACCATCCCCCCAAATCAGCCTAAGACTTCACTGTTGACATCTCATCAGTGGCAACATCTAGCATTCTACTGCACTAATAAATCCCATCCTCGCATCTCTATTCCCATCATCACTTGCCCATTTCAGCCACTCATTTCCTTGAGCTCAGACTATTGCAGCTGCTTTCTGTTTTCTCCAACTCTCATCTTTTCCCTTGGAAATCCATTTTAGTCACAATATTGTTAGATTAAAATAAAAAAAAAAGTTCTGATTATAACATCCCTGTTAAGAAACCTTTCGTGGTTGCCTATAGGACAAAACCCAAATTTCTCAGTTTAGTCTTCATGAATAGGACTTAACTACTTTAATTCCAGAAAAACTGAATCACATACTATTTCCAGTATATGTTCTGCTTGACTCCTATAGTTTTCTCTGCTTAAATATGTTTTCTTCATATTTTTGAGTGTTTAAATACTATCCATCCTTCAAGTGTTTTCTCCATAAAAGTTTCTCTTCCCACAGTATCTGTATATCTCTCACAACGGCAATTTGATCTTGTATAAAACATACTAATGTACATGACATATCAAAACTTAAAACAATTTATAGGAAGGATCTGTATTTATCTCATCTATGAAACTCATAATGCTTAATACAATGCCTAGAATACATCTTACATATTTGTTAAGTAAATGGACTTCAGAATTGTGCCAAACCTGGAGTCACTTGTGTCAGTGACAAATATGTTAAATGACTCTGGCCTTCCTAGGTAGTGCCGCAACTACCTCAATATAGAATTCTCTTTTGTCAATACACAGTATAAGAAAAAAGAAACGGCAACAAAAGTAATTTCTCCGGATTTTAATTATATTATAATTATCTATTTAATGTGTCTGTCCTAGCCACAAGACTGTGAGCTCCTGGTGAGGAGGTGCTCTGATTTAACTCTAATTTTCCAAAGCAGATCCTCAAACAAGTATGACTGGCTGATTGAATGAGACTGTGTGGCACTCAGGACCTGTGGCTTACAGATGGGTCTCAGAGCAAATAGGAGCTCTTCAACAGTTAATGTACCCCTCACATCTAACCATTAATCCAGACAGAGGAGACATTCCTCGGCAGTGGCTATTGTGTACTCCATTCAGACATAGGAATACAACTGGATGGAAATTTTAATTCTAGTAGTTTAAATGCAGACCCAAATGGGATTAAAAAAAAAAGAAAAAGTACTAAACTTCTTTATTATCTATCCTGCTCCAAACACAAGTATCTCTAAATTATTTTGAAGAAATTCTTAGAAATTAATTCTTCTGGACAGACAAGAGCAATATTAGCCTTTACTAATGATGAAAAACAGGATATAATAATGAAAACTGAGTATATGTTTTTAAAATTTAAAAATTAAAGCCTGATGTTGTCTTTTCTATAGCTTCTAATATTAAAAAAAAAAAGTAAATAATTCTCTTTGCCAAAATTTTATCTATAGCAAGAATGACTCAAATGCCCTCAAAAAGAGCAATACACACTAGAGAAACACAAAAACCAAGAAACTATCTTAATACTCTGGTTTTGTTTGGAAATGTTTGGAAAACATTTTAAGGTCTCTGGTATGTAATATTATCTTATGAAACATTATGTAAGTCTACTCTGGCATCCAGTTTGAGAGTTACTTAGCTATCTGAATTCAGAAAAATCCCAGATAAGTTCATTGCTTTTTTTTTTTAATACCAAACACTCTAAATCAAAAGGAAGCAATATGAATAAGGAAGTACCACTGTTTACAACACGTGTAAAGGATACTCTTCACTATTCCGGATGTCAACAACCAGGAGCTTTGGTTTACTGGACTTTGTCTTCTTGGTAGGTGTTTTGAAGTGGCCTGTCACTGTGAGCTCACACAAGTCAATCAGGTCTTCTGCTGAAATCCGGGGTGAAACTTCTGATTTTAGGTCATTTAATGGGATAGATTCTCTTGACTGAAAGAAATGTACGATAACACAAATATTGAGAACATAATAAAGTGACAAACTATAGTTAGTGTAAAATATCTCCAGGATCTTGATATCAATCATTATAGCATATGGAGAACAGGAAATTATCTTGTCGTCTACTGTGTAACTGTATTCCTTACTACACAGGTTTACTTTTTCATTAGTCACACATATAGGAAAGTGTTATTCTTTTGCCTACCATAAGCTCCTGGCTTAAACGTGATAGAAACAGGTGAAAAAGATTTTTCCTTATGAGAGCACTGTGTATCTTTGAAAGTGGCTCTTTTAAATACATTTCATTTTTCTTCAAGTATAATTACTCTTGTTAGGAGGACATTAAATACACTCTGGTAATATGAGAAATTGCATTGCAACTCAATATACATACTAATTAAAGAAATGGTTGTAATATATGTATTGGACTTCTATAACATAATTTATGTTATATATGAATGGTTGAGTGGAAATTAGATTGTCAGAGATGGATGAAGAACAACATAATGCTCTCTTTGATAGTAAACTAAAATGACAATGCAGCTTAAATTGTGAAAGAGGTAAAATCAGATTCTAGATTATCAAACCAGTGCATTGGTATCTGTTATATGGCAAAATACTGATTCAGACTAAGAGCTATTTACAATTAACTCCATGTTATTTAGTTGAGAGAAAGATATTCCCCCCATTAAAGATTAATGCAATATAACTTAACAAATTTATTGAGCACCAGTTGTCATTCTTGAAAACTTACTTATAACATAACTTGAGAATTTAAAAACTTTCAAAATTCACTTTATTGAAAACATGGGGATTCAAAAGAAAAAAATTATATATTTAATAAGCTTTTATAATTGAGTCTATCTCATTTACTCATTTTTTTTTCTTTACTCAATTTCATTGTGGGATTCCACATTTAGAATTTTCAATTTAGAATTTCAAGGCAGGAGAGAATAAAGCATATGAATCACTCATCAGACACACATTTTGGAGTGTGAATGTCGCCTCTCGTCCCTTGGGTTTCTCTATGTCATAAATTCTTTGGTAGCAAAGCAGTCGTTCTCTCACTTCATTACCTTTAAGCAGAAATGGAAATTGCTAAGCTTTATGGGGTTTTGGCTCTTAATAAAAAAGAGGCATTAAGAATTTTAATTTTTTAATATTAGGAATTAAAGCTATTTAAACATTTTGAAATTAAAAGTGCTCCAGAAAGATGAAAGAGCTTTCAAATTAGCAAGCCATACAATCAATGCTCCCATCCTTTTTTTTTATTAAATTGCAGTCTCTATAGGTATTTTTCCCAGATTTCAAAGTCGTACATTTATAAAGATAAAAAAGAACTTCTGATTACTCTAGCTCTGCTTTTAGTCATTCAGTTATGAATGTGGCATTTCAAACACAGGTTTCATTTGAATGAAAAGTGTGCCCTGGCTGACGAAGAGGATTTAACTAAAGTATTCTCTATGAAGAACTGACTGATTTAAGAAAGATCTGACTTTGGCATTGGTTCCAATCAAATGTATCATATATGAAAGGTTTTTCAAAAGAAAGAGCAATTGCTATATAAAATGGTAAGAACAGAAGGAGGGTGTAATCATTGACAAATCCATATTTTCCCCCAATTTTACAGGTATATATTAGTAAAGAACTTTAATGTAATGCATGCAAGATCCTCTGCAAATTAATTTTAGGAGATTAGTAAATTAGATTTAGGACAAATTATACTACTTTGCTTTATGAAGAAAATAATGTTAAGTACAGAATGTAGTTTTTATTTTATTAGACAGTTTTATATGCAATTTGACTATTCATTGTATAATTTCCACTTAAAAGCATAAAAATAAAACTTTCTCTGTACAACTTTTGTCTAATTTAATATCACTGATATTAGCATTGTCCTGTGTGGGGTTTTAAAATCATGGGACTTTATGGATAATGCAGAAAAATATAAAATAACTATAGAACAACTCTGGAAACATCTATTATTTATCAATTCTGCCCAAGAACCAGTATATACCATGCATATTAAGCTTAGATGTCCAAGTATTAGAAACCAATTTGTCTGAAAACTACTTTAAAAAAATTCATATTCGATTGGCAACTTTTTCAGTGGTCATACTGACAAAAACCATCTTTTAGTAGAGTAGGCTCTCTGAATGGCTATCTGAATATATTAATGATAATACTAACCAAGCAAGCAAAATTTGGTAACAAACAGGCATTTTGCTGTGTCCATTATTAAGCTATTGGGAGAATAACTCTGTCATGATTCATAAGAGTCTGAAATTGTAAACCTTTACTGAGAGTGTGCCTATATACCCTTATGCTGCATATGTAACTAGCAACCATAAGGGCATAACTTTATATGCTTGTATTTCATATGTAAAATCTCCTAAATAACTACAGAGGCATTTTAACTATGAGAATGCAGGGCTGGCATGGAGAACACCTTCCCTATACTTTCTGTCATGGATCCTGGCACAAACTTCAACCAAGCTACCCAAGACAGAAATCTGGAAATCATCATAGACTCTTCATCTTTCCTCATTCCTCGTTCCCATCTAACATACCCCCAAGTTCCACCAAAATCTCTCTCAAATCTCTTCCCTGAATCATTGCTCTATCTCAGGGCTTCATCATCTCTTACATGGACTATAGAAGCTATCTGCCTCTCTCTCCATCTCCTTTCTCTGCTTCCCTCTTCACCTAAAGTCATTCCTCCTAATTCACCTTCCAAGTATCATTTGAATTAAAAATAAAAATCTGACCATGTAACTTTTATAATTAAAAACATCTCAATGACTTCTAGACAATGATAGAATGAAATTCAAATTCCTTAGTATAGCACATAAAGCCCTTTATGTAATGATCTCTGTCTAGAGTAGGCAGGAGACCACAGGCTTTGGAGTCAGACTACCTGATTCCAAATCTTGGCCACCCTACTTATCGGCGACTTTGAGTATGATATTTAACCTCTCTGCCTGAACTCTCCTGAGCTATTTGAAGTATTAAATGAGTTAACCTATATAAAGCATTTAGAATGGTGTTTCACACACTTTAAAGAGTTCAATAACTGTTCGCTACCTTTGAACTCTTTTCTTACCCCTTGTCATCTTGTATTTTATGCTTTGGCATTAGCAGACTATTTGCTTTTTTGTACCACCATCCCTTTGTACACGTTTCCTCTGCTTAGAATGCAACACCTTGCCCATCTAATGACTCCCTGCTCACCTTTCAAGTATCAGCTCAAACATTACTATTTCTGTGAAGAAAGTCTGTTTTTAACTCCTGACAAACTTATTTACTCTTCTGCATCCCTATAGGTATCTGGTACACATTTATTAAATTGGGATTATTCACTTTCCATTAGACTGAAAGCTCCCCGAGGATAAGGAAAATGGCTTTTACACTTATTGCTTCCCTAGAAGCCAGCACATTACCAGACATATAAAATGTATTAAAACATATTTGTTGAATATAATGAATAAAATAATATTTATAAATTTTTCATTACTTTTTCTGAGTAACTGTGGTATAAAGTATGTATATGTTCCCCAAACGACATCTATAGTCTTCCATCATAGTAATTATTATATTTGTGATATAGTGTCTGTTTCTCCACTTGACTTACAATATCCTTGAATGCAGGTTACATGTCTTTTTATGTTTTTATCTTCAAAAGCTAGCACAATGTCTGGCATATAGAAACTCAATAGCTATTTAAATAAATAAGTGAATGAATAAAATGAATGAACAAGTGAATAAAAGTATGATTAAAAAACTCTGCAGAGCACAATCTATTCTTATGTCTGGATTACTAGACCAAGTCTTCAGAGAAGGCAAAACATCAGATTCTTTGTTGCTTTAGGGCACTGTGATGGTTAATCAAGAATACTAAAACCTATATCTACCTCAGTAATTTCTCACAGTCATCTGCCTATTCCTTAACTGAAAAAATTGAAGATTACAGTTGCTACTACATAAGCCTTGTAAAATATGCTCTAATTAATTGAAAGAAGCTAGGTGAATATAAAGAAAGCAAAAATTAAACAAACGCAAAAACAAACTATCCTGAATAGGCAAAATAAGTCCACGATATTAAAATATTAATGAAGGAAAAAATAGGCAAATACTAGAGTTGATGTTTTGGGGAAAACCAATAAAGGTAGAACATCTGTATGTGAACTATACGTGTGCATGATTAGAAATGAGAAAATATAAACGTAAATGTGTTTTTACATTTTCTCATTTCTAATGTATAAATAAAAATATTAAGCATGGAAATATTTGAAAATAATACAATATTATGTACCAATCTATATTATTAAATTTTTAAAATACTGATTCTATATATTATTTCCCAAAGAGCAGACAATCGGAATATACCTGTATATCAACTGGCCTAAGCTGAGCTGAAAAGAATGACAGGTAGAAAAACAAAAAAAGAAGAATGATATGTGGTGTGTGTGTGTGTGTGTGTGTGTGTGTGGGTGTGTGTGTGTGTGTGTGTTTTCAAAAGTCAAAGAAAATCTGAATAGACTTTATAAATACAGGTACAATTTTAAAGTTTTCAAATGATTACTTAAGAGAAAGGTACCAAATATATTTTTCCTCCCAAACAATTTTATGTCATTTTAAAAGAAAAGGGAATCCTTATGATATATTAATTGTTCTAAGGCAAAGACAACATTGAAATAGAGTCAGGCCATTTTTATGAAACTACCTTAATACTTTAATCTGACAAAGATAGCATGAAACATACAAACACACACACATACACACACCAATATTCCATATGAATATAGATTTTTAAAAAATCTCAAAAGTAGAAAAGTGAATGCAGTAGGAATTTACAAGAATGACATACTATTATAAAGTAGGGCATATTCTAGGAATGAAGGATGGTTCAGTATTAGGACAATTTTAAAAGTAATTCATCATCTTTAGTCAAAAGATACAAAGCATACAATTGTCACTATAGATGACATAAA